TTCCAGGCAAACAAACCTGAAGTCCCTTTAAGAGAATGAAAACATTCGTTTCATTAACATATTTTGCTGGAAAGAGTATGAAAGGTGTTGAGTTGCTTATTGTTAAAGTGTTCCAGATTCTCAAGAGTATACTAAAAGAATTTTTTATAGGCAGATATAAATATATTTAATATTGCCATTATCATCAATCCAGATTAAAAAACAGCATAACCATTAATTTAGCCTATAACTCAGGAACTACTGATCAGATTTGCATGGAACTTAATGCACAAGCAGAGAATAATATTCTTTATATAACAAAACAACTTAAAAACAAGAATTTAGTCTAAATTATGTTAAATCAAAACAAGAAAAAGTACTAATCATTTTCACAAATCTTTTTGCACAGAAAATCATTAATATGGCTTATGGTTCCCTCCTGCATACAAACATTCTGCATTGTAATTATTCACGCATGTTTTAATATTATCAGCTCTGTTAAGAACAGAGTCCACTCTTGAACAAGTGCATCTTGAAGAACCATGTTCTATGGGATTTATGTCTGGAGATCTTGCTGGCCATTCCATGCAATGAATATAGTCACTGTCACAATAATTATTCACTACTTAAAAAACTGGATTTAGTTATAAATAATGAAACAATACCAGTAATACCAAACAGTAAACACCAACAATGAAACAAATATCCTGAAATTTACTAAACAACAACAAAAACATTTTTCAACAAGTTTTAAATTGTCATCATCAGGTTAATATAGCAATCAAACATATATATGAAAATTCATATGTAACTTTAAATAAAATGGAATACACTGGTTGGCCACAAATGGACGACACATCAGTGTGCCATGGCACACTGATGTGCCGTCACATGGTGAAAGGTGTGACATGAACTTTTACATATTCTGTTAATTTCAAATTTTATTTATATATTTTTATCACAGNTATGTAACTTTAAATAAAATGGAATACACTGGTTGGCCACAAATGGACGACACATCAGTGTGCCATGGCACACTGATGTGCCGTCACATGGTGAAAGGTGTGACATGAACTTTTACATATTCTGTTAATTTCAAATTTTATTTATATATTTTTATCACAGTTGTTGTGTTTCTTATGCTTGTATTTCATTCTCTGCCACAGCACTGATGAAATAAGATGATGTTTGTTTATTCTTTATTACAAGCCACGTATTTTTATGTATTCTAAGAAATTATATGTAAAAAAAATTTGCTCACAGGTATTGATGTCTGTTTAATAACAATAATAATAGGTTAGTGGCATTACGTAATTCTATTAATAGTATCATATCATACGTTTTTTGAGGGGAATAACATTTTGGTGTGCCATGACTCAACACGGTAAACTGAAAGTAGAAAAAAGTTGCGGAACACTGCTTTAGAGAATGTCTCAGCATCTCAAATTTATTGCAGTGTTCTGAAAAACAACTTTGTAAATTTAGAGTTTCTCCAGATGTTTAGATTGGTCCAGTTCTTAATTATTGGGTTATTAGACTTGTTTCATTGATACATACTTGTACATCACTTTTAGTTGCAAATGTTGTTAATGCTGTAGTCGACAGGACCTTTTGGATAGAATAATGATGCTCCTTGATACACATGTTAAGAGAGTGTGCACCCTGTAACTCCAGCAGTACATTTAATAAATCATAATGTTTTCAATCTAATAATCCTAATAACCTAAGGCTCAGTGAAGTACACCATTTAAAATAAAACAAACATTTAACAAATTATTTTAATTGGTTACTTCACTGAGAAAAGCCTATAGTATTAGGTCAAAAATATGATTTATTAAACATATTGCTGGAGTTACAAGGTTCACTGTTTCTTTTGACAATCCTTAAACTTGCTGGACATGGACAGGCCCAGCAAGTACAAGGATAGCCTCTTTCTTTCCATTTATGCCTCAATTCTACTGCAATACAACAGTCATGCAATATCCTAGTTATTAGTTATTTTAAGTTATAGCTTAAAATTTTTGTGTAGTATATAAAAAAATTTAATATTTAAAAAGTTAGATAAAAACTTACATGTTTGCCAAAAACCACTAATTAAACTCAGCTTTTTATACTTAATGAACTATCAAAACAACTTTCTGTTGCTGAGAAATGTTTTATTAAATATGAGAGTTTGAGCATTCCTTTGTTAAAATGTTCCATTTTGAAAAGGCATTCAAATTTGGTTACACCTGAAAATGGCTATTGCATTAGATTGAAAATGTTTGTGTTTGTTTAATAAAAATGTTTCTCAGCAACAGAAAGTGGTTTTGATAGTTCATTGCATATTTGTTTATTTTTTGTAATTTACTGTATTACGACTTTCAAAGTTTTATAATTAAAAGATAGACAAATAATTAAGTAATTCTTATTTTCAGTTTTATCTCTGTTAATACTAATTTAGATATTTATCAAGAAAGGACCATAAAATTAGCTAAATGCTAAATATATAGAACACACATCCAATAGTATTAAACAAACAGTTTAAACACTAAAATTCAATATGATTTAATGTTATTTACTGATGATAATCAAAATAAGAAATCAGATAAATTATGAGGTTAGGTCAAAACGAAATAATCCAGAATTTTAATCTAAGAATAAATAAGAACTAAGTATTGACTGTTACTATACCGATTATTTAAGTTTAAGAATCCTAAAACTAGTTTTTATAATTTAATTTTCAGAAGAAAATTAAATTATATAAAATGTAATCTCTGCATAACAGACAAATCAATTTTCTCAATCTAAACTCATAAGCTTTATCAATATAAACAATTTCAAAATCAAAATAAATCGTTTGGAATATGATTTTATTTAAATATATTTTCAATGATTAAAATAAATTATTTTTTCCGGAATAACTCATATAATCAAGCAAAGCATAATCCAAGACTTCACAGAAAATTTAAATGAACTTTTAAAGGAGGAATTGTACAATTTATATAATTTTGTAATTAAAATTGTGAAGGAAGATGTAACTATTAAATAATAAACAGAATTTAAGAATTTGTATGGAAATGACTAATTCAATCACACTACTTAAAAGCGTAAACTCCAGGAAATAATTAATGGTGTAAAATTAACAGTACATTGTTCACAAAATATTTTAATATTTGTAAATGCTTAGCCCCTGAATAACAGGGTGTCCTTTATGCTAATAATGATTAATAATTAATAAAAATAAATAAATTATTTTTCTACTTTAAATATTTTTTAATTATGTATTTAAAGCAGAAATGTAATTAATTATGGCTTAATGCTCATGTTTTAATTTAATTGTAAAATATTAAAAAAATAACATTACTACTTACAATGGTATTTTGTTTATATTATATACAAAATTTAAAAAATAGATTACAGTCGACCCCCCTATAACACTGTTGATTATTCCGTTTTATATGAATTCCGTGTTGTACGAGCCACTTAGATTTTACAAATACATGTGCCAGGCTGTGAACAGCTCATGTATTTGTAAAATCTAAGTGACTCATGCAACACGGAATTCATATAAAACGGAAAAATCAACAGTGTTATAGGGGGGTCGACTTGTATTATATCAATAAAAAAAAAAACTCTATTTCAAGTTCACATTTCTACAAACTATTTTCAGATTAGGTATGAAAACATTTAGTGTAAACAAAAATCTAATGGATTCTTTACATTTAGTTTTTTTAAATAAAATTAAAAAAAATACATGTGTTTGGTATTTAGAGAATACTTCTTTGAAAATTAAATTTTGAGATCTGTGCTCTGTTAATAAAGTTACTGATGCATAAAATACCTTAATAATTATTTTTTTAATAAGAAAATATAGGCAAAATCAGTCATATAAATCACTTCTTATTCTTTGTTAATAACTTTGATTTACCTAGATGCCTTTAATGACATCACTTTGATATGTTAGCATGCTATCTAGTGAAGCAAATTTGACACAGCTGGAAAAGCAAGCCAGTGAAAGAGCCCATTTTATTACAAATTGTCACTGGCTTGCTTATTCAGCTGTATTAAAGCCATTTTAATACAGCTAAAAGTTTAAATATAACTAAATAAATACTTAAGAAACTAAACCTTTAATATAAAGCATGTAATTTTTTACATAAGCAAACATTTTTTTTACTAATTTAATTAGCTAAAATGTTTATACAGAAATTAAATGCTAAATACTAAAGGTTAAGTATTTCATGTCAATGTTGTCCAGTTACTGTTTACACTAGTTAAACATGTGTGTTTAATTAAGTTTGTGAAAGCTTCAAAAATATACTAGAATTACAATACTTTCAAACTGATAAATTTTAAATTGGATATTTATAATGATGCTGTTATATCAATCCAAAAGCAGCAAGTAGGAGTGGTACATTAAATATATATATAACCTACATGTTTAATTACAGCTATATTCTCCATCTTTTTCTAAATTTTTGAAAAAATTTGATAACAATACATAATGCTTTATCTTGCTGACTCATACGATATCACCTGCAAAGTGAAATGCCATCAGCATTGTAAAGTCATTATATTTTATAAATAATTATGTAATGATAGCAAGGTTGCAGCCGAAGTTTTCATCTCTAAAACATGAACGTCAAATGTCAAGCGCCGCTTACAAAGCGACACTCAACGTTTGTGTTTTAGAGATGAAAACTTCAGCCGTAACCCAGCTAATATATTAAAATTAGATGCAATGTAGCAATTTAATCTATTAATATAGAAAATTTTATATTAAAAATTCAATAACTGAATTTAATGCAAAATTAATAATAAAATATAGCATTGTAAGCTCTATATAAAGTAACTAAATGAAAAGTAAATTATTTTGTTTACTATAAAACAAGGAAATTTACTATTTGTACACCTTAACTTAAAAAATAGAAATTCTTTATCTGAAGATATAAATCATACCAAAATTTTATTTAAATTTTAAACTTTAAAGGATATAATCAATTATACATGCTGTAATATGAGATACGACCTGGACTTACTGAATATCACAAGATATTTATCTGTAATAGTTACGATGATGATTACTTTCACGTGCAGCTTACCTATTTCTTATTGGAAAGAAGGCGAAACAGATTTTCGTTAAATATTAAGTACGATATTAATAAAATGCACTTTTCTAAAGGAAAAATAAAAATACAAGAAGCATAATAAATTGAAAATGTTTGAAAAGAACTTCGGAAAGACCATACACCCAACTCGTCACATGACAGCAACAACTTCGTGTCGTGTTGCCAGCCACCAGTTGATTCTAACTAGTAACATTTTTTTCTATGGTTATTAGCTGATTAATAATGAATTAGTATTATTAATAATTTATAACTCATATGTTTAATATAATAAATTAAAATTAATTTCTAAAATTATTTTTCTGATATTAAAAATAAACTAAAATAATTATAATTGGTTTTATATTATAAAATATTTCGGATTAGCCTAACAGATTTAAATTTTACTGTCAATACTACTTCTTACATGGAAAAAATATAATTAATAAAAAAAAGGCGTTTGAACGTAATTTAAAAAAAAAGTTTAAAAATTTTCGGTCAAAATGGAGACGCAACTTTACGAAATTTTACTGTTTCACTTTTCCGTTCAGGAGTATTATACAGCATTAATTAATGTCTCTCTCCACTTGAGGAGTAGTTTTACTTGCATCATTTTCTCACTTACACAGTAATTTCTTCATTTTCCTCGAAAAACATATAAACGGGGTTCGATTGTATTTACATCGTTAAACAAAATAATATACAGTATATTACGTACGATACATGTACATACGTTTTAGATGTTGAAAACAGAGGAGAGAAATATGTATATTAAAAGTAAATAAATATACAGTATAAGTGGACTGCAATTTGAAAATTTTCTACACAGACTAAGATATTTTGTTTATAGCATAGTTCAGTGGTTCCCAACCTTTTGTCATTAGCGTACCCCGTGACATGTCCTATCTCTAGATTGTACCCCTCATTTAAGAAATTTAGTGAGTACCCGTAATGTTAATTTTACATATTGTAACTTTAATTAAATTAAAGAAAAAAAAAAACTAAATGAAAAAATGCATAATAAAGTTGTGATTGTTGCCATGGGCGTAGCTAGGGGAGAGCCTGGGGGGCACGGCCCCTCCCAGAGAACCTGGTGCCCCCCAGGAAATCACAGCCGAAAAAGTTTTGAGCCGATTTGTAAAAACCTAAAGCTAAAATAAAAGTTTTGAATACTAAAAAAGGGTGAACGGCTTGCTCTGTGCCCAATAATGAACAATAATTTCAAATAATTCAATTTTGTGTCAGGTTGGCCTCCACTAGGCCCCCCCATAACAAATCTCTGGCTACGCCCATGATTGTTGCAAGGAACATTTTTTACCTAATAATTTTTAATTCTATTAGTTTGTGATACATAATATATTATTTTTCGGTTATATTAACTAACGTTTTTCTGTACCCCTAAACAATCTATCGCGTACCCCTAGGGGTACGCGTACCACAGGTTGGGAATCGCTGGCATAGTTTATACAGATTATTCCCAAAAAATTATACGTGTTTTGGTAATGTTGAGTGAAATTAGTCTAGAATCAATTAATTTTATGGAAGAAAACCTTTCAAATAGCCGTAGTCCGTAACTGAACACGTGCCGGGCTGTGATTGGCTCATGTATTTGAGGATTCCTACAACGCGAAATTCTTCTAAAGCGTAACGTATCTACCGCGTTATAGGGGGGTCGACTGTACTGCAGTGACGTGCCGTCATTGGAAGCGGTGGAAGCGCCGCTTCCCTTGTATTTTCTAAAAAATAAATATAGATATATGGCGCGATTATTTTCATATTTTAACGTATTTTGGATTAACTAAAATTAATATCATATTATAACCGCATTATGTATCTTATTATAAATTTCTGTTTTAACATGTGAAAAAAACGATAAGATTGCTATTGTATAATCGAATATCAGTGGCGGAATGGAAGCGCTGTACTGTCGAAACTGAATCAGCTTTTAAACAGCCAGATTATATGCATGCGTTTTACAGAGCACCAACCTCACCCGGTTTAGCTGGTGGAAGCTACACACATATAACGCTTTCAATGATTCTATCCAGGACAGGTCTGGGCTGTTAGCGGCCTGCCTGCTAGATATTTGGCCGCACTCGCCCGATTATGCGAATCGTGGGTAGATTTAGAACATAACCCAACCGATAAGAATTTACTGGTATGTTTTTATGATAGTTCTGTATAGTTGATAGGAGTTTTAAAAAAATTATTAAAATATTTGATATTTTTATTCTGCATTCCCATCTTATATTACTTACGGATTTCAATGTTAAACCAGTGATATTACGATTTCGTATGTCCCGTCTATAGGGGGATAGAGAAAAAAACGTGTACAATTCTTGTACAATGTTAAAAAATTAACTGTTACTTTGGTAGCATTAACTGTTACGGTGGGAATTTATGGGTCTACAATGACAAAATTTGGAAATAAATGTAGCATTCCTCCGAAAGCAAAATTGTCGCGTTGTAAGTAAAATAAAATTCTTAGGAAATAAAATATCATGGCATGAGAGATACGAGCAGGGCTGTGGAGTCGCGTAAAAATCTATCGACTCCAACTCCGACTCCGACCAGGGGCGGATTTGTTACCGAAAGAGACCCGGAAATTCTGATATCATCACGTGACCTCAGAATAAAAGATTCAATAAATAGAGTTCTAATAAAGATAGAGCGTAGAAACATTTTATTCCAAAGCTAAAAGACTTCTCTAAGTAATATATAAATAAGTATTCGATAATTTTTACTTTTTCGGCTGTTATATGCAGTCGACCCCCCTATAAGATATAGATACGTTCCAATTTATTAGGAATCCGATTTCTTACAAGTCGTTCCAATCACAGCCCGACACGTGTCAAGTTTACGGACTACGACTGATTGAAAGGTTTTCTTCCATAAAATTAATCGATTCTACACTAATCCGACTCAACATTTTCAAAATACGTATATTTTTTCGTAGTTTTATAGGAATCGTAATTATAGGGACCGTAATTATAGGGGGGTCGACTGTATAACAGAGGAAAAGTGTAGCGCTCGGTAAAAAAATGACCCCTCCCAAATTTTTACATTTTTGGACTCGGGACACCTTGAAATTTCGAGGTATGCAAAAGATTCGAGGTTTTTTCGATATGTGTGGATGTTAGACTGTGTGGGGGGGCAGTGGCGTAGCGTGGGTGTCAGCTGCCCGGGGCGGAGGAAAATTTCGCCTCCCCCTTATTTAGGTATCTATGCTATAAAGTCACTAACTGACAACGTATACGGAAATTCGAGTTTCCGATTTTCGGGGCTCGATTTTTCCGCCCCCCAACACCCGTGGTAATTTCGAATATCTCGTCTCGTTCGAAGGAAAATTATTTTCTTAGGTAGTTTCAAGATTTTGTATAAAGCGGTTGCATCAATATAAGCATTCGAAAAGTGCAAAAGTCTGCAAAAAAAAGAGGTATTTTCTTCTCGTTTTTCCTCATCCGGCAGCTTCATCTGCAGACGCTCGTAGAGAGAGAAACCACTGGGTCCAGAAAACTCAAATTTTAAACTTAAGCCTTTCTCGTTATCAGTGAGGTGCTGGCGAAACTTCCGGATCTATAGGCTAAAGTTCACAGGGGTTTCACATGGAGCTAATTCAGTTTGACGGCTTCATTTTATGCTTATAAAATGCATTTTATTCAAAATGATACAAAAGCTCAAATTTACGCCAATTAAAACTTTCTATAACGATTTTACTAAACGGTGTTCAGTAACATGACGATAATTTAAAATATATTTTGATATAAACATAGATGACGTCATCATTTCGTTACATCATTGTTTATAACATCAAAGTTGACGGCAATTTTTCCTCTACAGCGATTTTGCTGAATTGTACAATAATAGGCCTACAGTAGCACATAAGTGGACTATCTATATTTATGCCGTCCTTATCCCGAACAGTTTGTAGATATCTATCCTTTCCGAATGTTCTGTATCACACGGCGTGTTAGTCACATAACACAAGCCCCCGTTCTATCTATAAGGAGATAGCCCGATGTAGTAAGTACAGAATTCTAAGGAGTGAGAAAATTGTAGTGTTTTAGAAGAACACTACAATTTCCTCACTCCTTAGAAATGAAAAGGACGCCATCAAGAGAAAATAGTGCCTCGGCCGAAACAACTTGAAAGGTTAGAAATGTATGATACAAAGCCTTCGGGAAACGGATGGTAGTTAACTTCAAGGAGACAGACTCAATTTCGTCAGGCTGGAGAGCGTATAGTTATAAATGAAGGTTTCTTCTTCCAATTGTCAGACTAGTAATATCTATCACGTCTTTCTTCATTATGGATAATTAACAGAGACAGACCGAGATTAAAACAGTTCTCTTTATTTCGCCTATTTAAGAATGCATTTCGGATTGGTCCCTATTCGCTCTCACGGCTTCAGTGTCTCCAACATAACGAACAAAAGGTTAAACAAAAGCTCTGTCGATTAACGTTAGTCTCATCATAACTGATTTATTACATCTCTCATAATAAATACTTGAAATTGGGGACATGTTTTAGAATCACCCTGTATTATAAAAAATCTTTTGTAAAATTTAAATACTGTATTTAAACTATACAGTATATGAGAATTTAATATTGTTGTTTATCATATTATAGTTTAAGAAAGTTGTTTAATNTGAATAGAATCTACTCTTATAAGAACAGGCGTTATGTTAAAGGGGGTAATAAAGTTAAAGAAGGTAAAATAATCAGAGTAAATCCCTCGCAATAACATTTAAAAATCTATATTGTTGCTAAGTAAACAGATTAAAAAAATTACCAGGGAGGAAACTTGATTTTCACGTTCGATGATAAGAGCGACCTTCACCTACATAGCACCTTTACTTTTACAAAATCATAAAGTTCTGAATTTAGTATATGAGTCACATTCAATTCAACTACTTTACTTGAATATAATAATAATAATAATAATTTAATATTTCAAAACTGTAAATAATTTAATTTAATATGTTTTATTGTTTGTTTGTTCACTGTTTCGAAAATTTTCGGACGTGTTCGAGTAAACTTACTAAATGACATTTTAATAAACAATAGGAAAAAGTTAGTGTTTAATATAAAAATTTAATAAAAAAGAAAATTAAATATTTGTCACGTAACTATAGGGTATTATCATATGAATTAACTAACGTGGGAAAAATAGAAAAATACATTCAAAG